ATGATGTCATATGACAGGTGAAACATATTTGGGGCAGTCTTGTTTCATTTCCAGCATTTCCAGTTTCCTCAGCTGCAGGGCTTTGGCTTAGGCTGCTGAAGAAAAGTCGATTGAAAACCGTGGGTTATTATTACCTTCTCGCACGCTGCTTGTTTTAGTGTTCTGCAGTGTTAACGTCTGTTAGTGGTCTGTCTCATTGATTCTGGAGCAGCAGGAGCGAGAGGAGAACCACAGGGCTCTAGGGACGCTACTAGCCTTTCACAGTGATCAGAGATCGGTTTCAACTCCACAAAATACAAGTCTTTGTAATTTGCAGAGAGGTGAAAAAAACTGTCATCAGAGCTCAGAGAGTGAAAATCAAAAGGTGGGAAGATAGCAGTCTGAACAAAAGTGATATGTGCGGCCTTGCAGGCATTCAGAGGGGAATCCACCGTCACATAAAAGATTAATTCAGACCTCCACCCTCTTTCTATCTGGATCTCTGAAGAAACAAATTCAATGGTGCGAGTTAAACCAAGCTAGAGGTATAACAAAATAAATAAATTCAAAGAAATCATATAGTGAGAACATCAACAGTTTCCTTTTTTTTATTTTTTATTTAACAGTCAGACATACATACAAACAAACCAACATGGTGCAGTAGTGAGCAATCTTCTAAATCCATAATTCCAGCAGTGGCAAGAGTGATTTAAGTGTTTGATCTAAGTGTGAATGTGAGCGGGTGTGAGTGTGGGTATGTGTATGTGTGTGTATGCATAAACAAAGTAACCATTTATTATTTATTACCATTGTCATTACCATCACCATCCCACTCCCCACTACCACCATACAGCCCATATTGTGTTTGTAGATTTTTATTTCCATCCTTCCTGCTATGTAACAATTGCCATTGTCAATCCTGTATAAAATAAAATATGATATAATAAGATAATATAAGATAGTTTAAACTTAACTGTCACCGTCCCACAGGTGGGACGTTTGCCACTATATTTTTAAAACAATAATATCTTAGTAAATACCTTAAATAATATTGACAAACTATATATCATTTGAAAGCTTACAATCTCTAGTTTCCATATTTGCTGACTGATTTTCAAAATATATTACAGAGGAGCCATAATTTATCAATATAAAACAAGAATATTTTCATACTCATAAGGCGTGTTCAGACCTTTATTTTAAAATAGCAGTAAACATGAAAAATAATGAAAAAATGGTAGATACCTCAGTTTGTTTTCATGCCAAAAGTTCAAAAGATAGAATCTATTCAATTATTTTGGAAAAAAAAGGTCTGAAAAGTTTGAAATATCAAGAAAAAAATAATAAATTCACCACTTGTGACGTGGCAGCTAGCTATGACTTACATGCATGTTCTTTGTATGTGTTTCTTAGAGGTTCAATTCATATCAAAATCTGCCAAACTTCCCATGCTACTTCTGAATAGGATCTCTACTTCAAAAATTGTATGAAAATTGTGAAAATAATGGTTCATATCACTCCAAACACGAATGGAAATGCAGGCGCCCTTATATGGGCAGTAATGGAGTCTGATTGTGCCCTAGTGAAAAAGTTTGGTACTGCGCTCAAACAAAATCTTACTGAAAGCTCATTTTTTGAGATATCAACCTAAAATTTGAAACACAACTTGTTCAGATTTTTGGCTTTGATCTTTCTGCCATTTTAGAGTAGCCCAGGTTTTGAAAATATATATTTTATGTAAAATATGAATAATTAATATTTTTACATTGTACATTTCCATAAACTCAAACTTCTATAACTTTTTTTCTGTTTCACTTTCTTAATTTATTTCACTTCTACAAAACTCTGCCAAATGTCTTCTTTAAAACAAGACCAATCATATGTCTATATACCAAAGCATTCTTGAATTACAACCATTTAAGTTCGAAATGTGCATTTTCATGTCTATTCAAAAAAGGGGGGGTGACAGTTAACAGGATAATATAAGATAACCTCCCCCCACATCTCATCAGTACCTATCTTTTCCTTATTTTTCTGTTTTTTTTTTTTTTTTTTTTTTTTTTGTTTTTTTTTTTTTTTTTGTGTGTGTTATATGCAATGTCTAAAGTGCATTAAAAGAGGGAGTACAGTGCGAGAGTGTCTCAAATTGGGCCAGAGATGCTGTCCTGTTGAAACCACTTCTCGCCTGTCTTGCCTGCCTTGGTGTTTGATGTGTTTTTTTTGTTTTTTTTTTCCTATTCTATGTTGTGGTGCATTAAAAACCCATGAAGAGATAAGGGGGAAGTTATTGCAATAGTGATGACAATGACACTTAATTCTAGTTCTACATTCTAATTCTACAGCATTGACAATGGCAATATTGATGATAATAATAATAATAATAATAATAATAAATGACAATGATGATGGCAGTGGTGATCACAACGGTGAGAGAGAAAGTGTTGGACGGCAGAGGTCAGTTTCAGATGTGTAATTATGAAGGGGAGGTGCGAATTCCATTGCAATGAAGTCTGTTATAAGATGTTTCCAAATGTTAATGTGTAATTTATTTCTGGTTTTCCAGTTCATGAGGATAGTTTTCTTGGCGATGGTTAGAGCTATGAGGAGTATTTTAGAGTTTATAGTTTTATCAGTGATTATTGTGAGGTCTCCCAGCAAGCAAAGGGAAGGCGACAGTGGGATGTGGCAGCCAACTATAGTGGATAGTGAGTGTGTGACCTCTTCCCAAAAGTGTTTGATTGGAGTGCAGTGCCAGGTTGCATGGATGTATGTATCTATAGAATTTTGATTGCAATGTGTGCAAATTGTGAAACCCATTTTAGCTAATCTATTGCCCGTGTAATGTGTTCTGTGAAGTATTTTGTATTGTACTAACTGAAGATTCGCATTTTTGGACATGAGATAGATGTTTTTACAGATTTGGGTCTAGAAGTTGGCATCAGGGGCTATTGAAAGATCGTTTTCCCATTTTATTGTTGGTAAGTATATAGACTGAAGTTGATTTGAGATCATTTTGTATATTTTAGAGAGAAGTTTCTTTGGAGAGGAAATGTTGACCAAGTCTGATATTGCCGGTGGAAGTTCTAAATTTGTATCTCTGATGTTCATTTTTGTCAGGACAGAAGATTTGATTTGTAGGTTTTTTAAAAATTTGTTGTTCCCGATGCCATACTCCTGGGCCAGTTATGGAAATGGTTTAAATGTGTTGGATTTGAAAATATGCTTAATGTGGGTGATACCTCTTTCCGCCCATGTGTGAAAATTCAATGATTTTTTATTGCTTATAAAGTCACGGTTGTTCCATAGTGGAGTGAGGTTAGATGGAGCTAATGTAGAGTTTGTGATTTGGTGAAATTTCCACCAGGCTGTCAGAGTGGTGGCTATAGTCACTGCATTAAAACATGTGTGTTGTTTGATTGATTTGGTGAGGAACGGTATGTCAGCTATATTTAAATCTTTGCATAGTGATTGTTCTATATCTAGCCATATGATATCAGATTGGGTGGGGTGAATCCATTTGTATATGTATTGCAGTTGGTTAACCATTGAGTAATATTGGAAATTTGGTGCTTCTAGTCCTCCTTGAACCTTACTCTTTTGTAGTGTAGTGAGTTTTATCCTTGGAGTTTTATTTTTACAGTAGAAGCGAGTTATAATGGAGTCTAGGGATTTAAACCAAGTGAGTGTGGGGTGGGTTGGAATCATTGAGAATAGGTAATTAATTTTCTGTAAAATCGTCATTTTTATGGCTGCTATCCTGCCGATTATGGAGATTGGGAGGTTGAGCCACCTGAGCAAATCGTCTTCTATTTTTTTTTTAGCAGCGGTGTGAAGTTGAGTGTTACCAACTCTGACAGTCTGGAGATCCTAATGCCTAAGTAAGTGATGTGATCATGAAATATAGGTATGGGTGATTGATGGGGTGCCACATCCCATTTGGTTTTATGTAAAGGGAGGATGGAAGATTTATTCCAGTTTATTGCATAATCGGATATTTTTGAGAAGGACTGGATTGTTTTAATTATTTTTTGAGTAGATGTTAGGGGTTCTTGTATATATAGTAGGATATCATCTGCATAGAGTGAGATGTTATGTGTTTGTTGTGGTGTTTCAATACCTTTCAATACCATTTTGCCAAACGTGATTAAATACAGAAAAGTGGGGCACCATATTTTGAAAAAGTACTTAAACGATCGGCTTGTATGTCCAGGAAAATGTCATGATGACCTCTGAAAAATGCACTTTTGGCATTCTAAATGATTTGTGAGAAGTTAAGTATCATGTTTTGCCTGGGAAATCCAATTAAGTAAAAGTATAAGTGTTCAGTTTCGGTCTTTCTAAATGGAGTAGAAGTTCATATTATTGTGGAGTTTACATTATACTCATGTCATGTTTATCAGTGCAACTGTGAATGGAATCTAGTAGTCAGTTATTACACAGCTCTTAGGAATACCCGATTCTGATTTAATGTTATTCACCATCATCCACGGCAATACTGTACTTTTTTTGTACACAGTAATGGATTTTTTTTCTTAGTGAAAGCATTATTGATTGTATTTAAATACATTACCGATCAAATGTTTGGGGCCGTTTGGGGGCATTTTTTTTTTACTTTTTCAAAGAGATCTCCTATGCTCTTCAAAGCTACATTTTTGATAAAAAAAACAGCAATCTTGGGAAATATTACAATTAAAAAAACAAAACATTTTAAAATGTAATTTATTCCTGTGATGGCAAAGCTGATTTTTCAGGAGCCATTACTACAGTCTTTAATGTCACATAATACTTCAGAAATCATTCTGATATGATTTGGTGTTCAAAAAGCAGCTCTATGTTAAAAACAGTTATACTCCATAATATTTTCTATGCAGTACATTTACAAGTTGTGTTTTTGATTAGGCCCTGTACAAAGTGCCTATTAAAAGGTTTTTCAGCAAATTGAATCTCTTCCTAGACAGACCCATTTGTTCTGACTGTATATTATCCCTCACTTAACAAATCTGTCTATCCTTCTCTTTTAGCTCTGATTGTCCACGAGGGTCCCTCTGTATTTCGCATTTTTAACCGCTGGCAGGCTGTTAATCAGCAGTGGAAAGTCTTAAACTACGACAAGGTCAAAGACAATGAGGAGCACCAGAAGACATGTACCACATTCCGGAACTTCTCTCTGCCGCACCGCATGGGGCCGTCCGGCACAGAAGGCGAAGCCTCCACCTCTTCCCTCATGGCTGCGGCTGCAGCGGCCGCGGCGGAAACCATAACCCCCTCCACAAACTCCGTCCTGTTGGCAGCAGGTGCCACGACAGAGCCGCAGGACTCATCTGAGCCCAGCAACGGACAGCCCTCGCTGCCGGACCACCACTGTGCTTACAACATCCTTCATCTCCTCAGCCACCACCTGAGACCCCAGGAGCCACGCGGACAGACCAGCAACAGCAACCGCGAACTGGTCATGAGAGTTACTACGGTGTGAGGCCTGGTTTACGGTTGAATCTCTGCATGCGACATATTTAAAGAAAGGATTCACTGAACAGAATTAAACCGTGTCACCCAGTGCAGTGCTGTCCGGGTTTAAGGGAGTTTTTGTTTTTCCATTTTTTTACAGTATTGAATAAAACAAGCAAGTTTCTTGCTTTCCAAGTGGTTACAGGAAAGATTATGGCCATAAAGCTGCATACAAGAAATTATGCAAGCCACTGAGAAAGGTCAAAGGCATTGAAGTGTTTCTAAGTGTGTGTTGAATTTATTGTTAGCTCAAGGTCAGAGCCGTGACCATTAAGAAGCACAAGCTTACCGATGCAGTCCAGTTTCTACACTGACAGCCACTGCTGAACTAAAATGGCTCAGAGTGAAGAGCAAATGCGTTCTTTGTAAAACATACAGCATTACACAAATTTTCTGATTACTACAGGTTGTATTTTCAGATAAAATCCTATTTATAAATGTTAATGCGGCTCTTGCGAGGATAAGCAAGTTTAAATCTGTTTCTTAACAAACCAAATGGGGTATTGAAGAATCAAACTATTGTGTTTACACTTTTAGGCAGTTTTTTTAGGGAAATCAATCCTCTCTGATTTTGACAGTCTTGTACACCAACAATAGGAAACCACGTTACAGTGGAGACGACGTGCAGCAAGCAAACTACTACTACTAAAAAAACTGACTCAATTTGAGGCAAATCTCTTGGACTTATTTTGTTTACATTTGTTAAATATGTGAGAAAAAAAAAGGTTGCTACATTAAAAAAAGACAAATCGAAGTGGTTTAATTGTTGTATGTGTCTGTTTCTCTTATGCAAGAGAGTATGTGAGAGTTGACTCCAGTCCCAGAGCATATTCAATTAAATCATTCATTTAAATAATGCATTTTATGTGCTCCAACGTGTTTGCCTTCCAAGCCTGTTCTTTCAAACAATCAACAGCTCTTGGAATGTTTACATTAATCCCTTTTTTTTTTTTCTTAAAACAAATACAGACAGAAAGTGGATCTAAGTGGCTGAATGATAGAAAACAGGAAACAGCACCGGTGCCGGGGGGTCTTCTGGCTTCCAAGCCTGTCTGTTTCTGAGTAATCATATCTGCCTTAACCCTTCTGGTAATGGTCCACTCCTCCATTTCTTTCTCCTTAGATTATGTATCCAATAACAGCTTGTGTAGAAATAATCACATATGATAATGTGACATTATTAGCTTGCACGTTTGACTAGTTTAATGCATTTGATGACAGAAAAGAAGCATGTATCTGTATATTCTGAAGAAACACTTCAATATACAAGTGTGGGATTGGCGATTTAGAAGTGAAAAGAAGACATAGGCCATATAATGTTTAAATAATCATGGAACAGAAAAATCATTTTATACTATGACCTAATAAAGAATTATTGAAGCAATGCCAAGCATTCACAGCACTTCTCTAGACAAGGTTAAATGTACACAGAGAGTAGAGAGATAGAAGGAGTGAGTGTGACAACAGCTTTCACTGACTGCTTTTAAACATGCGTTCAAATACAATCGCTGCTGCTGCTGATGATGTCAAATTGTGGTTGGTACCACATGAAACAAGAAAACGTCCAGGGGCCAAGGCACAAGATAATTTAAGTGTTTTGACATTTCCTTCACTGGGATCCAGTGGAATTCCAGGGAGATGGATACATTATAGTCAGAATGTATAAAAGAAAGTAAAACTATGAATGGAGGAATGTTCCATCTACTCTATTAGTGTCTTTGTTTGCTCCTCCACAGTGACCTGCAGATGATGATGATGTCCTGCTACTCCAGCTCCACGAGTAGATCTCCCTCTCCGACTGTATCTCCAGCTTTACAGTGCACACTCTTCACCTGAACAACAACACACATTAAATGTGAACGGTCCATGCATTCTGCATCTGAAAAAGCCATTTGTGTTCACTAATTTATCAATGTCAATCATTTGGCTTCATTGTTTCTTCACCCATATGCATTTGTATTCCTTCCTATTTAAATACACATGGATAATACTTCAATTAAGAGAACCCATTGGTCCCCTAGGATATTTTTAAAGTGCTTTTAAATATAAATCAATAACTCTAGTTTAAAAAGATAGATATTAATGGCTTTAAACTTTCCAGTGCCTCTTCTATATGCGTTATATTCAAATCAGGGAAATTATATTTTGTACTCTTCCTAAGAACCTACAATCATATTTTCATGTATTAATTTGGTATGCATTTTTTTTATTACAGAAACACTATCCTCAACACTGCTATCATTAACATACATACATACGCTATATATGCCTAACAACTACTTTTATTCAGTAAGGATGCATTAAATTGATTGAAAAGGACAGATAAGATATTTATATGCTCCAGTTCAAGACAAAAGTACAGTTCTTTTTGTTTTTGAAAGAAATTAATACTTATGTTCAGCAAGGATGTGTTAAATTGATAAAAATGTGATAACATTTTTATCTTGTCTTTAAAATTTTATTTATCAATGAATCCTGAAAAAAGTACCACAGGTTATACAAAAATATTAAGCAGCACAACTGTTTCCAACATTGATAAAAAAATCAGTATGTTAGAATGGTTTCTGAAGGATCATGATGCTGAAGACTGAAGTAATGTTGTAAATGAAGTAAAAGAAAATCAGCTTTGTGCAAACAGAAATAAACTATATTTTAAAGTATATTAAAAAATATTTCACAATATAAAACCTTTTTTCTGTATTTTTAAATCAAATAAATACAGCCTTACTTTTCAAAAATATTAACAAGAGTAATATTTCTAAACTTGACCAATACTGTGCATATACAGTTTTTAATTTTTATTTCAGTTTTAGTGTTTTAGTTATTTTAGTACATGTCAAACTAATTGAAAATGAGAAGCTAGCTGACATTTTTACACACACACACACACACACACACACACATATAGATAGATAGATAGATAGATAGATAGATAGATAGATAGATAGATAGATAGATGGATAGATGGATAGATGGATAGATGGATAGATGGATAGATGGATAGATGGATAGATGGATAGATGGATAGATAGATAGATAGATAGATAGATAGATAGATAGATAGATAGATAGATAGATAGATAAATCAGGTTAAAGGGTTAGTTCACCCAAAAATGAAAATTCTGTCAGTATTTACTCACCCTCATGTTGTTCCAACCCGGTAAGACCTTCGTTCATCTTCGGAACAAAAATTAAGATATTTTTTATGAAATCTGAGAGCTGGATCACTCCTGCATACTAGTCCATAGGCTTCTTGAGGAATTGAAACTTGCCGTCCTCGAAAAGTCATTAAAGACATTGTTAAAATAGTCCAAGTGACTACAGTGGCTAAATCTTAACTTTATCAAGTGACGAGAATACTTTTTGTGCGCAAAAAAAACAACAAAAATAACGACTTTATTTCAACTATTCACTTCCTTCTCTATGAGCCTCTAGTCAGTTAACGTAGTGTGATAGTGTAGAGCTACGTCACACGTAGGCTCACTATTGGCCGACGTTGGTCATGTGTGTGATCCGTGTGACGTACAATAACAGAAGCTTACGCTATTAAAGTAGTAGCCTGACTCGAGGCAGAGAGATAAGTAAATGAATAGTTGAAATAAAGTCGTTATTTTTGTTGTTTTTTACGCACAAAAAGTGTTCTCGTCGTTTGATAAACTTAAGATTGAGCCCCTGTAGTCACGTGGACTATTTTAACAATGTCTTTAATAAATTTTCGAGGCGAGCAAGTTTCAATTCCTCAAGAAGCCTATGGACTAGTATGCAGGAGTGATCCAGCTCTCAGATTTCATCAAAAATATCTTAATTTGTGTTCTGAAGATGAACAAAGGTATTACGGGGTTGGAACAATGAGGGTGAGTAAATACTGACAGAATTTTCATTTTTGGTGAGCTAAGTAATCAGAACACCTCTAGGACCCAGAAAACACCCCAGACCCCAAAGGGTTAAGTAACGAATTTTTTTTTTTTTTTTTTTTTTTTAGTTGACTACAATAACCATGGCATGACATACAATAAAAGTACTGCTGTCCATCAAAAGAATCATAAACACCATGACCACAGTCTGGTTTCAGCCCTCTGACAAGAGGGGAGATACTTTCACAGTAGCTAAGTGGTCTGGTCAGAACACAAGTGTGGATAATGGACTGTGGCCCCATGATGTCTCTCTCTCTCATTGTGTTGAGTACTGTAATGTAGCTGATGTATGTGGAAGAGTATGTTCTATATGTCATATCGATTTATGTTGCAAAGTAGTGAACAGGATTATGTATCAGTGTGTGTGTGCGAGCACTCACCTTGGCTGCCTTAGCTGCGGTCATACTGTTCTGCATCTTCATGGCCTCAATCACGCAAATCTCCTGTCCCTCTGCAACCTTCAGAACACACGCAGATTTATGGAAAAAAAAAAACCCACAAGAGGCATTCCACAATGATTTTCTAATAACGTCTTGAAATGTACAATTCACAGAATATCTCCCTTCACATATTTATTAACTTCATAGACTAGTTCATAAAACAGCCTCAGCACAAAGAGCAGGGTAATTTTGTAATATCATTTCATAAAGGAGCATGCATTATAAGAGTGATAACGGTTAACAAACGAATAAAGCTCGCTGTAACGTGAGAGCAAAATCAAGAAACCTGTTTATATCTATCAAACTCTCCATTAGGGAAATGGATTATGGAAATAAGTGAGCACTGAGGAATAGCTGTTTCCCTCTATCCACAAGGAATAATTTCTCTCTTATCTATGCAGAAGTGGTAACATCGGGTGGTGTGAACGTCACTGCTGTTGTGTGTGTGGACACTAATCAGCGTGAGTCTGAGCTCTTCATTGCAGTGTTCTTGTGTCTGAGACGTTGCTGAGTGAATGAGATGTTTTACTGGAAGAGCTCAGATGTATTAGTCGGAGCCAGTCGGTCTATGCATTATATATAAGTCATTAACAAACTGAGTCAGGACACTTTCAATTCAACTTGACAACAACACGCGCCCACACAGAGACGTTTTGTCATATTGAAGTGCACTGTCAGCTTTACAAATGATGTCATCCCAAAGCAACCAGCGTAATTTAAAGGAATAGTTCCCTTGAGATAGAAAATTCTGTCCTCATTTACCCGTGATTTCAAACCTTTATGACTTTCTTTGCTCTGTGGAACACAAAAGGAGATAATTTGATGAACATCTGGTTGGGTGATTTTAATACAATGGAAGCACTTCACGACTCACTTTAACACTTAATAAAGCACCTAGAGTGTGAGCAACTAAGCACAAGTGGCTCATTGATTTTTTTTTCCCAAGTGCTCTCATTGTTTATATTGAAAAACAACCCAGTACTTAAAGCTACACAATGTTATTGTTTTTTTAGTTAAAATGTAACTAAAAGGGAGAGCATCATGAATCCATCTACCGCACCGTGTTTTTGCTTTATCTGAAAATCACTACTACAGGTATGGATTTTCAGAAATACATTTAGCTGACAAAGCATCACATTGCTGTGTATTGTTGTGCAAAAACAGCCAAAATGGCCATCATTTTCCTATTATCATTGTAAAGCTACTTTGAAACAATCAGTATTGTTTTAAGCGCTATATAAATAAAGGTAACTCGACTTGAGGTTCACAAAACTATGTTTAGACTATGTTAAACTATGTTAAATAACTAATACTTTTATAATGCTAGAGAAAGTAGAAAGTAAATTGACTTTTATTTTTATAACAAAATCTGCCTAGGGTTAGGGTGTCCCGGGGCATTAATTTAGTCCACTCGGCCTTTTTATTTGAGCCCACCTTTTTATTTAGGTCAGATTAAACTTACCTAACCTGAAAATAATTTTTTTTTTAAAAATAGTAAAAGTGTCGAGTTAAGCACCCTAAAACAATAAGCATAATCATTTATTTATTTATTGAGTTTGTTATCATTGAAATTTGAGTGTCATTCAAACTGAAAAGACAAAT